ATATGTATGCATGTGTGTATACATATATATTATTTATATTACTATTGCTGTGTTCTACATGTGAAGTACTCTGTGTATTTCAGGCAGTTTGAACCTTGCAAATCAACAGGATAACAACATTAAATGTATTAATGAATTTATTCAGCCTCATCTGTCTAGTTCCTATTAACTGTTTTCATTAATTAGGAGATAACGGGAGAAAAACAAACAGAGATGTGCGATAGTGAGAAAGGCAGAGCCATGAAGACCTCACAGACTTCCTCCTCTATGCTGTTTTAGCTCACTGATTAGATCTTGACCCTCCCACCTTAACTCGTCTTCTCTGTCTGTGTCTCCAGGCTAGTTAGTTACAAATTAGAGTCACAGTGAACTTCCACTTGACTCCTGTACTCAAAAGTAGAGCTTCATTGTATGTTCTTCGTGCATCTGTCCCAGCCACATTTTGATGGATTTTGCACTGGCATGCCATTCTAATGACTTCATTGTTTAACCCTCTATGCTCCCTCCCCAGCTGTGAATCTTCTTATTTAGATCTTTAATCTAAATTAAATTTTTAGCCCTGGCTCCTATTCTTTTTATTCCTTTAGGACAGATGCCTCTGCGTTCACCGTGCTGACTTGTAAATGATTAAAGGTATTGATTGATGGTTCACCAGAAAGTATGGGGGGGGGGGGGGGGGGGGGGGGGGGGGTTACATATTCACCAATTCATTCTCTTAATTGCCAAAATGGTTTTCTTGCTCATATTTAACTGTCTGCTATAGTTTGGTTATTTGAGTAAACACAGTTTATCTATTTCTTACCACCTGCAACATCTGTATTCATTTGGGCAACATCAAATGAGTCTCCCTATCTGCATTACAGCATCACTTCAGCTGTTTGACACCTCTGGCCCTGTTAAAGATGAATCCAGTTGTTTTCACTGCGATCATATTGTGTCGTAGAGACACAATACTGACAGAGATCAGCCTCTTAAATAGACAGACCTGACCTTCAGGCTAATGACTGTTGCAAGAGGAGCTGAGACCTCCATGCGTGTGAGTGGAGGTGTGAAGTGTCTACAGAGAAATAAGAGTGGTAGCAACAGAAAGAGAAAGTGAAATGTGATTGAGGAAATCAGAATCCTTGAGGAGAGCTGTGCTTCTCAAAGTGGAGATAAGAGGCTACAGTTATAGTCTGCAGTGTGCTTGTTTTTCTCGGAAAACATCATTCACAGTCTTGTAAATAAGTCTGTGGCATTTACAGTACTTTTATATGTTTTTAATTCACCAGACCTTAACAACAGGTCACTAGGTTATGTTATTCTTCTTAATAAACATATTATGATTCATTTTTTGCACTGGTAAACAACATATTCTGTTATTAGGCAAAATGTTCTGTATATAAATGTGTGTATTTGTAATATAACGAAGGGCACAGGCCGAAACGTGTTGTTCCAGTAATAAAGCTGTTCTTTATACTATTCTTTAAGTTTTATTGGCGCTTCAGCCTCAGGAGAAACAGTTCTTGCAGACATATTTGCACCAAGAGCTAACAAAGATTAGACTGAAAGCAATTCTTCTATCATATGAAGGTCAAATGTGCTGTGCTATTGAAAATGCTTGAGAACAGGAAAGCTCTCTTGCAATTTATATCATGTAATAAGTATGCTCTTCCATTTAAATCTTGATTCATGTTTCTATGATGTATGCATAAGAAGCTACAATGCAGAGAAGCCCCCCGCCCCCCTCCCATTTTTCCTCCTGTGTGAGTGTGCAGAGTCAGCATTGTTGGAGATTGTCAGGGCTCATTTTCCTCCTTTCAAAAAAAAAAAAATACATTTTCAGCTATTTATTCTTTTGATAACTTCTGTGGGTCTGGGAAATGGTCTGAGCTAAGCAGCACACCACATGCAAGCTGACTGGTAGAAATTTGTGAACACAGACATGAGTCTGTTTTTCAAGTCTGCGGGCCTTCACGCCTACAGTAACCTTATAGTTAGTGTATTAATTAAGAAATACAGTAATTACAAGGTTGAATTCCTGCTGTTGATTGGATTTTAGCATTGTAGCATTTACTATATGAAGCACCTTGACACCAGTGTTGTTGTGGTTTGGCGCTATATAAAATGGATAATATCGAGTGCACATCTTTGGATTGTAAGACATTTCCTCCTGTTGCACTTCAAGAGGTTACCTTACTAAAAACCTCTGATAGATCTACGTCTACAACTGTTCATGCTTTACTATGTGAAACTAAAGCTCAACACTCATGCACAAGGAAAAGCCTAGTTAGGTCGAGTACAAGGAGTAACAAGATGATGTGACACCTGCGAAGAGCTACATAAGAGTCAAATTAGATTACTGTTGACAGATGGAGGACAAAACTAGAGGTTAAAAAACAAACATAAGAAGTAGAATTAAATGAAATAAATATTCATAATAAAACAGGAAATGACTAAACAGAACCTGAAACCAGCGTAGCTCCAAGGTCTCTTAATGAAATGGGGGCTTGAAATACAGCAGCATCATTACGATGCCCTTGATTTTCTCTCACTTAAGGATAGTTGGTTTGGAGCGGCACAAATGCAGTGTTAGTGTCCAGGGAGGAAGAGGTAGAGTCTGAATTAGAATGGGGCCAGTATCATGCCAACCAACTTGCAGGCGACAAAGTTGTGAGCTCCTTTTGTAAGCCGAGCTTTTTTGTTGTGATTCTCTGTCATTGGTAGAGTTCTGTCTGAATGATTAGATGTGATTGGTTCAGAGCATGCTGATCACACCCTTTGTAATTTTGCATGTACAAAAACCAATGTACCCAGTGAGGTTTGTTTTGTACACCCCAGACTTAGTATCCATTGTAGTTTCCACTTGGTTTTTCTCTTCTGTGTTTAAAAAAAGGGCAGAGTTATCATCACTTTTGTGTAAATTGTTGAACAAAACCTGTAACTCCTGCACAATTAGCAAAGACATTGTTCCTCATCTGTTACGGCACAGGTGCACGTGCAAAGGATTCACTGGTTTTAACCACATCGTGGAAGCTCAGATTCTGCTTTGCTGTGCTGTTGATTAAGCTTGACATGATGAGAGCTGAAGAGCTGCTGGGATTAAAAAAACTGCTGACTTCTTTCTCTCCACTGTTTGCTTTTTCCATCTCCTCCCTGTTCTTTCCATCCCTCCATTCTTCACTGCATCCCTCGTTCCTTCCAATGTCTCTTGTGATGTAGTGTTTAAAGCAGAGGGGTAGACAGGGAGACAGGATTAAAATCAGCCCCCCCTTCTCTTCCTCCTTATCCACTTCTCTTCTTCTTTCTCCCCCTCTGCATCTTCATCAGATGTAATTATGACAACACAACATAGGAGGACCGTGCACAGCAAAATTAGACTTTTAAATTTCTTTCCACTTTAGCTATTTGAGGAACGAGACCTACATTTTCAAACTGATCAGAAAGAGAACAGAAAAATGGGATAAGGATGAAAACAAGAGGAGGAAAGAAGAGAGAATTAAAGAAGAAAAACAGAGGCAGAAGAAGCAGATGCTAGGTAAGAAAGCTAAAGAGAGAATATGTTAAGGAGGAACAGACGATGTCGGGGTGTAGCGATGTAGCTGTAACGGAACATGGGATCAGTAATGCTGTCAAGCTAGAAAATGCCAGACAGCAAAGCAGCACAGTGGGAGGAATTGCTTAGTTAGGGTATGTGAGTGATGCAGGCTTTTTTCTCTCTCCTGTCCCAATGTTTGCACATCCTACCCTTTAAATTCAAGGAGCCAACTTCCACTGTACCCCTTTGCAAAAAAATTAGAAAAGGGATGGGTGGGTAGGGGGGTGTTATTGAACAGCGGGTGGGGTAACACAGTACATCTGCGCATTGCATTGTGGGAAGAAAAGGGGATGGGAGAAGTGCATGAAACGTGCAGAGATTTACTAGCTTTGCTCTGACTGCAGGGGAGCTAAAATAGCACTATTTATGGCAGCAAGGTAGCAGTGGTGAATGCAAAGCTACAGTTGGAAAGACAGGACAAGAGGAGACTGGCACAGCTGAGAGAGGAGCTGGGTTGTTTTCGCAGTCGGGAGAAATTAGAGAAGCAAGCAAGGTCCGGACACAAGGGAGTATCAGCTCTCATCTGGAGGAGGAAGAAAAGGAAGGAGGAGGACAGAAGAAGAGGAGGAGGAGGAGCAGGGTGGTGCTTTATTTTTATTTTTAGATGGTGAGGAGTGTTGCATATTTGTTTCATTTGACTGTATCTCTTTGTACATCTGTTTGTATCTCCTTTGTGCTCATGCTGTATCTGTATGGTAGCATGTGCGCATACCTGTGTGTCTGTGTGGATTATGTTTTTTGGCACATGTGAGGGATGCAATTCTTTTCACTTCGGTTGCAGTTTCTACCGAGCTGTCATTAAGCATTGCAGTCAGTTTGTGGTTGATTTCTCTCCCTCTGGTTCTAATTGATAACTGCTATATTGTCTTTACATAAGACATCTATGGAAAGACTAATGAATCATATTTCATGTGCAAGTCGGGTGAATGAACACAGATTATGTGGTTTGGGTGGTAGGAAACACTAGTGTGTCATGTCTGAGTCATCAATAATATTCAGAGGAATCAATAGTAATCACCTTTGAAAGAAAATATGAATTAATTATAGCGATAGCTCAATGGTAACACTACATCATTAACGTTCTTGAGCCTTACTGACCCTTCCAGTGTTACACAAAGAATTGTTCAAACTGACAGATACCTGATTTACGTTTCAGTGGTAATGCCAAAGATGTGGTCAAGGAAATTACATTGAACCTATTTCCATTTAGTTGACTGACGTATTCACAATACAGTCACCATGCGAATATTTCACTCAGAACTAACTCTATAGTGCCAATGAAAGACTTCGACCAAACTGTTGCCAAAAACTATGTATGCATTATTGTTACAGAGACAAAGTAAAATGGCTTTTCAAATTGAAAAAGTGGATTTTAAGCATACTCATTAGTTTTTTTGTATTTTTTTATTTTTTTTGCCTGCAGGTCCAGGAATGGCTGTGTCTGAACTGTCAGATGCAGAGAGCTCTCGGCATTGATATGACCACGCCTCGTTCTAAGAGCCAACAGCAGATTCACTCTCCGTCCCACCAAGCCAAGCCGATTGTCCAGCCTCAGCAGCCTGCGCCTCAGCCAACACAGCCGACAGCAGCAGCGCAGCCAAAATCTTTGGCACAGAGTCAGCCCACCCAGCGGCAGCAACAGCAGCAGCAACAGCAACCTCAGTCTCAGCCCTACAGCCAGACTCAGCCCTACTCCCAGTCGCAGCAGTATCCACAGTCTCAGCAGCAGTCATATGCTTCATCACAGCTAGGGTCCCAGACTCAGTCTTATACATCCCCTGGCTTACAGAGACATCCAGGCCCTGGTGGCTCCCAGTCTCATACAGGGCCTTCTCAGCAGGGTATGAGATCTGATCCATACTCCCAGACCGGTCCTGGAGCTCCAGGAACTATTAGAGGTCCCACAGGAGGCTTTAGCCAACCAGGGGGTCCTCGGATTCCTCACCCTGGTGCAGTACCCCTCCCTGGTTTGACCAAGGCACCTTCCCAACCAGATTTGGGTCGTGGTTCCCCAATGCACCAATCTATGGCACGCCACGACCAGACCAGAAGTGCTGGATCCTCCCCAGCCCACAGACCTCAGAGTCAGGCCCCTCCTGCCCAGGATGGCCTGACCAAACTGTTTGGCTTTGGGGCATCACTGCTTAATCAGGCTAGTACCTTGATCAATGTTGACCCGCTACCTACCGCCTCCACCCAGCCAAGCCCTGCACGAGGCAAGGTGGTGTTCAGTAATGCAACACCTGACAACAGGCAGCAACAACAAGGGACCACCAGTACTAAACCATTCACTATGGGGGGCCCTCATGCTCCAAGCCAAATGGGTGGTCCTAATGTTCAAAGTCAAATGGGAGGTCCTTATGCTCCAAGCCAAATGGGGGTTCCTCATGCACCGAGCCAAATGGGAGGTCTTCATGCACCAAGCCAAATGGGTGGTCCTATGGGTGGACCCCATATGCCAACCCAGAAGCAACAGCAGCAGACCGTGCCCCAACAACAAGAAATGCAGAAGCAGTCACCTGCTCATCAACAGAAAGGACAGCAAGGACAAAAAACACAACCACAAGGACAGCAACAGCAGAAAACACCTACTCATCAGCAGAAAGTGCAGCAGAAGCAGGAGCCTGTGGCAGCAGCACCTGTGGTTGCTCCAGAGCCTGTGAAACCCAAAGTGAACTGTCCTCTTTGTAAAACAGAGCTGAACATCGGCAGCTCCGACCCACCTAACTACAATACCTGCACGCAGTGTCACAGCCAAGTGTGTAACTTGTGCGGCTTCAACCCAACACCACATCTGGTGGAGGTAAGAGGAACGGAACACCTACAGACATCACACTGAAAACATGTTATTGCAGACATACAAGAACAAAAACTCTACTAGTACAAACGCCATCAAATTTACTTTTCACCAAACAATCAATAACATTCAACAAGCAGATAATGTTCTTCATTCCACTGTTGAACCTAATCCTCTTCACTGTGTGGATGCCGTTAGATGTGCAGCTCGTGTTTCAGTTTCTCTAAAAAAAAAAAAATATTATACTTAAGCCTTATTCTTTATCATGATCTGTTTTTTCACTCAGGTTTTCATTTTACATTTTCGTTTTCTATTAACGATATAACAAAGATGTTGTTTTGTTTTATTCCTGTTTCTTCATTTCCATCTTACTACACCTGCTACAAATTTATATGTCCCTCCTGATTTCATTTTTTTTTTATTTATGAGTTTTTCGTTACTTCTACTAGAGTTTTCCATATCTCGTTTTAATCCCTAACTTCCTCCTTTCCATTTTAATTTTTTGGATGTGCTCGATGTTTACACATACAGTTACATCCATAAGTATTTGGAGATGGGACTAAAGTGCAAATGCAATGGGTTTAACGACTTAGCAATGATACTGGTTTTCATACATAGTCGTCTATTTTCTGAGGCTCAAAAACAACATAATTGTTTTTAAAACTTTAATGAACATCCAGATGAAGCGTTTGTGTACATCACGAAATGCTCCATTGTCTCCCCCGAGATCACGCTCTGCTAGGGAAGGTAATTGAAAAATAATAAAAATTTTAGGGATTTGATGATATTATTGACATCACTTATCAATTAGATTCCTTATTGATTCTCATTGGGTCTGCTTTGAGAGTCACCACCATCACTAAGCAACATATCAACGACAATACATTCATGCAAATGAACTGCATGCTCTGTGGTCAAATTTTTGTGCATGCTGGAGGTATTTCCCCTTTTTGTTGTGATCAGTGTTGGGGTTGTTACTCAGAAAAAGTAATGTATTACATATGCAAAGAACATTTTCTTAAAAGTAATGTAATAGATTAATTACTCCCAGGAGAACGTTTTCTTTGTAAAATGACCTGAAGCACACTGTCTCATAATCACCATTTAACAATATAAACCTGAGTCTACAACACCACACACCAACACAAATCTCTATCTCTAATGAGGACACATGTATGATCTTTCTCTCAGTATTTACAGATAAACACAAAGCTGACAGCATAGAGCAAATATGAAAACCAGCACAAAGAGACTTTACAGTAGAATCATCACAGTGATTCTACTGTAGAAACATGAAGAGGTAGAAACAGAGGCTACAGCTTGACTTCTTATCAGTTTGTTACCTGTTAAGTTCAGGGCTGGGGTCAGCATTCGCGCAGCTTTAACATCACTCTGGGTTCTTGGCTAGGTTAGCATTAGCATGCTGTCTGTGCAGATGTTTGCAAAGAGCTGAAGTTGTGTTAGCAGCACAATGCAGCTGTTTCTGTCGTGGGCACAGATTAAAATGGCCAGAGGTAGAACATGAGGTCAGGAGTGTGGCCTGGCAACACAATAAAGAAAATTCGATCATATTAAAACTTGCTGCTTACAAATAAATAAAATCTAACTCGGGTATACTGACCAAAGAAAACCATAAACTGTGTGTGCACAGCTTGTACTGTCAGTATGTGCTCCTTTCACCTTTGTATTTGATCTAATTGAACGTGGTTTTGTTTCAGTTCATAAATTTACATTAAACAAAAATTTTGAAAATTATTCAGAAGGTCATTCTTAAGTTATTGTGTTATCTCGTTATCTAAATTAAGTACCACTTCTTTGCCTCTCTCTGCTGTCCCCCTGGGCTACAGTAGCCTGTATTTAACCCACTTTTCTCAACAAAGATTAGTAATCATACTAATTGGAACACAGAAACATCTACATGTACAGTAGTGAGATTCATAACAATATTCTGGAGTTTTTATGTATCTGTATCATAATCCACTGTGACATCAGCACCCCTTGATCTCTCTTTCTTTTCTTCATGTCACCTTAGATGGACTGCCGTGCACATGTCGATGAATTAAAATGAATGAATGATGAAATAAAATAATATGTAGCAATCCAGTGAGCTACGCGTTGAAGACAAAACACAAGAGGAGAGAAAAGACTGTTCCTAGGAGACCCATAATCACAAAACATAGACATCCTTTTCTGTTTCGCTGTCTTTGTGTCTCCCAAAGTACCTCTGCTCATGGTATAAAGAAACAAGCGTAAAGGCCAACCGCCCTCTCACCTTCCCTTTTATCGATCCAGTGCAGGCTTAGAGTTGAAAAGAGGAGAGAAAGCAAGAGAAAAGAAAAGATGGCAAGTATTTCAGGAAGTTAGAAATAGAGGAAGAAGGGAAAGATAAGGAACAAATGTCGCAGAAGAATAATGTAAGAAATGGAAGGAGAAGGGGGGAGTGTAAGAGTTGAGAAGGTAAGTAATAAAGCAGAGAAGGAAGTCAGACTGAAAGGAAGAAAGGGACTGATGAAGGAAATGCATGAAAGAAAATAAGCAAGGATGCATGGAAGTCAGTGAGTCTGGCAGATTTACAGAGACTCATGGCATATTTACTTTGAGGCAGTTTAATGCCTCCAAGGTCTTTAGTACTTAACAGTACTGTGAAGTGCTTGCCTCATAATAGACCTAGATATAATACACAGGGCTATATATAAGTGCCTTTACTATAGTATGCAGGACGGTGATAAATACACGCTAACACAATAACAAGAAGGAATGGGCCATATCATTGAAGATACCACGCTTATTCATAAGTGGACTTACTTGGACTTACTACCTGTAGATAGCAAGTAGATGTGTGTTTCTTTGCAATGTGGGTTAAGGCCTGCAGGTCCTAAAAAGTGCATAAAATGAGAAAAGAGAAGGTGGACACAGAGAGAAGGAGTAGAAAAGTGATATAACAACCATATAAAATCATTTCTTTAAGCCAATTAGAGTCAAAGATGATGGTGACAGCATATTCTACTAACTTCTGAGCTCTCTACGAAAAGGCAAATTATGAGGAGAAAAGATGGGCATCATCATGAACATTAGCCATTATAAGCATACAGAAAAAAAGTAGAAATAGAAATGGACAAAAAGGTAGATTATTAATGGAGAGAAATTCTTAGAAAATGTTAAAAAGGAACTCAAGGTGGAACTGAGATGGATGAAGAGACATTCATAGAAACAAAGGAGGAATAAAAAGGAAAATGAATAAAGTGGGACAAAGAACAGAGCAATGGTGCAAACAGTTAGAAAGAGAGCTTGACAGCAGCTGAGAGGCAACCAGACATGTAGACCTGAATCATGTACAGCTTTTAGTCCAGAGGGAAGACAGGCACTAGTGCACACACACGCACACACACATGCAAAAACCAGTAATTAGAACAGTAGGACAAAGAAGAAGGTAATAAATCAAGCAAGTGAAGCAAAGAGGGATGAGGAGAGAAGCCAGCAAAGAAGTGATGATATCACAGATGAACTGCATGTACAGTCATTTCTATACCTGATAACGATTCCCATCAGCTCACTCCGGGCTGACTTTGCAGGTTTTTACAGTTTGTCTTAACTCTTTGTGATTTACTTGATACATGTCTCTGACAAACAAGTCCTATATGTGTAAAACTTCTAGATTATATTGGAACAGCAAATGGAAATTTTGGGCTGTAACATAATTTTATTACATCACAGGTCATAAAAGTGTTACCACAGTTTAAAGCAATAAATCCGTGCTATAACAGCTTCAACTCTTCTGGAAAGGTTTTCCAAGGTTTAGGAGTATTTATGGGAACTTTTGACCATTCAGAAGCACATTTGTGAGGTCAGACACTGATGTTGGACGAGAGGGCTTGGCTCACACTCTCCACTCTAGTTCATCCCAAAGGCGTTACGTTGGGTTGAGGTCAGGATTCTGTGCAGACCAGTCAAGTTCTTCCACACCAAACTCGCTCACCATGTCTTTATGAACCTCGCTTTGTGCAGCAGTGTGCAGTCATATTGGAACAGGAAGGGGCCATCCCCAAAGTGTTCACAGAAACTTGGGAGGATGACACTGTCCAAAACATCTTGGTATGCTGAAGCAGTAAGAGTTCCTTTCACTGGAAGTAAGGGGCCGAGCCCAGTTCTTGAAAAACAGTCCTACACCATAATCCCCAATCCACCAAATCTGTATTGCGCTTGGTGATATAAGCCTTGGATGGACCTGCTCTGCCACTGAAACCCATTCCATGAAGATCTCTACACACTGTTCTTGAGCTACATGAATGCTACATGACGTTTGGAGGTCTGTAGTGATTGATTCTGCAGAAATTTGGTGACCTTTGTGCACTATGCACCTCAGCATCCACTGATGCCACTCTGTGATTTTACATGGTCTACCACTTCGTGCCTGAGCTGCTGTCGTTCCCAATCACTTCCACTTTCTTATAATACCACTAGAAGCTGACTGTGAAATATTTAGTAGTGAGGAAACCTTCACAACTGGACTTGTTGCACAGGTGGCATCCTATCACGTCACCACACTGGAATTCACTGAGCGCCGCAAAGCGACCCATTCTTTCACAAATGTTTGCTGAAGCAGTCTCCATGACTAGGTGCTTAATTTTATACACCTGTGGCCATGGAAGCAATTGGAACAACTGAATTCAATAATTTGCATTGGTGACAGAATACATTTGGCAATATAGTTTATTGGATCACAATGTGGAATGAGATCATAAAAACCTAAACAATGTTACAACCTCTTCAGATCAAAGTCCATAATCTGGAGATGAATGTAAAATGTCCTTTTGTCAAACAGTAAATGTGTCTGCTTGAGTCATTTTTTGAACAAGTCACTAACAAAATAAAACTTTTTGCCTTTACTAAAAAAAATGAAAGCTACTGACGTCACACTTCAGATGAGTTCAAGAAAGACAGGAACACTGTGGGATAGAGAAACATGGAGGTCGCGCTCGTTTGACTTATTAATTATTCAAATAGGT